CACACAAACACAGATGTATTTAGGACAGCATGTAAAGAAATGAGAAACACGAGTCACTTCTCAGGTAGCAGGTGTTGTTGTGATTTAGGAATCATTGTGAGAGTGATAATGCGAACAGGTGCTGTGGTTGCAAAACGTTTATTTTGCCGAAGGTTCTGTCGACTCAATTTGCATTGTTTAAAAAACCCACATCTAACACATTCGGCATGCTAAACGTCAGACTCAATCTTCTGATTCAGTCTAAGAAATGGTGAAATGTTAACCAGAGGGAAGTTTTGACATTTCCCAAATATACAGTTGATGTTGATCAGCTCTAAATATACAATAATGTAAAAATATGACCCCGCAAAAATGGGCTAAAAATCAAGTAACTCATAATGCTTATCAATACAAATAAAATCAGTATAGAAATCAACAAAGGCACAAATTTTACAGCAAAGAGGAGGGGACACTGGTTTGAAGAAAGGGAGACCAGACATATAAGTTTAACTAGTAAAGCAGAATTTTTCATTCGTAAATAACCTGCTTGTAGAGCAGGGCGATATGGCCAAAAATATTTATCACGATATATATTTGAAAATTTGCGATAACGATATAACTGACGATATAATTGATGCGAGACAAAATACAACTCCACAAGATTATTAGCGCAAAAAGACAACCTTCCATTTATTTTCACTTAAACAAGAAGCTGGTTTTTATGTACATTAAAGCTTTATAAAAATGTAACAGTGCAAATGCAAATTCCTTGCTGAAAGTTTAACCAAAAGGCATTTCCAGTAGAAATGGGCTGACATATCCTGAGCATAACCATGTATAATATCCACTGAAGTTAAAAAGAGGTGCTTTGCAACATTAAACTGCAGTGTGCAGTACGTATTTTTCGGACCATAAGGTGCACGGGATTATAAGGCACATTAAGCGAAACAAAGCAGTCAGATAAATCAAACTTTATTAAACTCATTCTTCTTGCTTCCTCCACTTCTGTACCATTGATTCATTAATGTTGAATTCTCTGGCAGCTGCTCTATTCCCATGTTGTTGCAGTATATTAATGACTAACCTCGTATTGTGGATGGATTATCTCAGTTGTTCTCCTGACTGAAGTTTGGTCCGTTTACAGCATCCTGCCATGCGATTGCATTTGTCTCTAACCATGAGGAACCTTCACGTTAACTTTTATAAGTGGAAAAGTGTTAGTGTTCGTCCTCCAGCTTCACTGTTTATGTTATGCTAACATAGCTGTGTCGCTAGCGATCACGTAGCACATCATTATATACCAGCTAGCCCAACTTCAGTAACCCTACAAACGTCACTGCTGTTTAGTTTCCTGTCTTCATTTATGTTGGAAGTGATAGCAGAGCTGTACGTTTGAATTTTTTCAGAAATCTCTCAGTCAGAACATGCAATATCATGCTTAGGTAACTAGCGAAACTAGCGAGCTAACTTCCGCTAGCTTCCTGCTAACTTCTAACTCCGTTAAATGTAATAAATTTTGTTTTCATGGATGCCTGGAAGTTAAACTTCATAGTTACACCTGGTAAAGCAGCAATGCTGATCGTTTTATTAAAGATGAAAGAATTTAGACAGTTTTTAACTCTCAGTGATGCTGCAGTGTTGTTTGACCTGAAGTATACGGAGTTTAGGACCCAGATTACTCCCAGATTTAAGAGCATCTTAGTCCGACAAATACGACAATAACGACGGCCGCTTGCATGTTCTGCAAAAAAATGTGCTTTGTTGTGTATCTGACGGACAAACACCAAACCAGTTCCACATCACTGAAGTTGCACCATTTTTACAAACCAATTCTGGTTCATCTGTTTCACTCAACAATCGGCCATGTGCGTATGAAAACAAAGGCACTGCGCATGCGCGTTTTACTCATTCTATCGCGATATTTCATTTTCCTATCGTTGCCTAACATTATACCGGTATTACCGTGAACGGTATAATATGGCCCAGCCCTACCTGCTTGTGCCCCATATTTCGGTTGTCAGTAGAATTCTGCAGCCGAAATGTTGCTTTAAACTTACAGTAAATGGTGAAATGATTGGCCTTGAAGTTAATAATTACACCCAATTGAAAAAACAAATACATGACCTTAAGGCTAAACTGCGTCAAATACGCATGTCATCAGATAAAAGGAAATCAAACACGCACTTTTGAAAAACACAGTCAGAATAAGTTAATCTGATATATAGTAAACAAACCAAAGTGTTGGTGGTGTAGAAACAAAAGTGGTTAATTATCTGTGGGCTGTATAGGAACGTGGCATTCTCTTTTATCTGGATTTTGCGCAGACACAAATGCGCACACTGTCTTCCTTCCTTTCATGCAGTGATTATGCTTGGCTCTTAGCGAGGTTTTGTAACATTTTAAAACCGCTGGATAGTGGAGCGGCAACTCTCTCATCATGGATTTCAAATTAACACAGATTTTCAAGAACTAAGGCAATTCTCTGTGCGGAGGTGTTTTTAAGAGGCTGAACTTTGTCTCTGTGGCTTTGTGCAGAAGTATATCATCTACGGAAAGTCAAACAAGACTTTCAGCACGTGTGATGGACAACAAAAACATAGCATGGTATCTTGAGGCACTCCTTTCATTTATGGCAACTAAGCAAAGTCCAAATCTATCACAGTCATTCTCTCACACGCACCAACACACACACACACACACACACACACACACACACACACACACACACACACACACACACACACACACACACACACACACGCCTCACTTCAGCAGTTATATAACCCGACAGGCAATAATGCACTGATTGATGATGTATCAACACACTCAATTGGTTAGTGTCAGATTTTAAGCAGCCTATGCAGAGATTACAGGCTAATTTCACCAAAGATATGAGATATTTCTCTAACTGATTAAAGTTCCTGGAGATTTTAGACACAAATATTTGAATCTGTTTGCGTATCAGACACAGCGACACAAAAGATTCAAAAAGCTAACAAAAAGTCTTTGTCAAACAGAGTATTACCAAACTTACATGACAGCAACGCAAATGACTTCAACAAAATGTTGTAAACCCAGTAAAACGATATTACAGCATGAATCTAGGAGTTAATCAGAAAAAAATAATCTTTTTATAACTTGTCATATTTTAAGTTCTCTTATTTTAAAATAGCCGTATTACATCAAGGGTCACGTTGCATGGACGTTTAATCTGTGAGCTCATTCTGCTAAATGTCTAATAATTCACAGGATCAGTTTGAGTACGAATGCTGCTGTTACTTGAGATCACCTTTAAAAATGTACTACTGCTACTTTTAAATAAAATAACTCCTCTTTTTTTTGTCGACACTGTTTCTCTGACTTTCTGACTTAATGGTTAAAAATATATTGCTGCTGATTTTCCACTATCTTTATCTTTGCTGAATATTATGATAAAACATGACTGCTTCAGCTCATTTACTACCAGTGACATGTACTTACTCACTTGGGGAGCTGTTTTTACACTTGACTTAGATTGATTCCCAGTCTTTGGTTTTGAGGGTCAACGTACCGTGACAATAAAGCTGCTGTGATTTTAAATATAACATATAATAGTCTCAGAGGAAAGTAAACAGACCAAACACATGAAATGTCTTGTGTATGTAAATAGCAAACTAAGTTTTCAACCAAAAGTTGTGATTTGCAAGATATAATGGATAAAATGGTGATTGTTGCTGTTCTAAAATGTCTCTGAACATTTTTCCAGCAACTCCACGGTGTTATGAGACGACTGACATGAAGATCGTACAAAGCGATGAGGAAAACAGTTGAACTTATTGTGACACTCTTACGCTTTACAAGGGGCTCTTACAAGCTTTCTCACCGTGTGTCATTACTGAGTCTTAAAAGAATACCATAAAGACATCACCTATCACACAGCCGTGCAGCAAGCCTCAAAGAGAAACGAGTGTTTAACTCTGAGCTCCAGTCAACAATATTGCTGAGTCACCACCATTATTTTCCTGTCAATTCCAAGAACACAAAACTGCCTGAAGCGTGTGTGACATATCCACAAATTCCACGTATGACACAAAAAGTATAGACTTCACAGAAGTACACATCCAAGAATGTATTGTATAGGCCCTGTAAAAAGCCTATTTTACTCAGATAAATGCTTATGGAGGTATTCAACAAAGTTTCTCAGCACGACATACACAGAAACAAACAAAGCATTCCTCGCACTCACCAGAGAGGCTGTGGTCAGTTTGATGGGTAAAATCTCTGCCTGGTGTTTGCATGTCAAGCTCACACTCACACTATGGCCTTCAGGCACACTATGGCCCAACACCTGACTTTGTGTCAGTTGTCAGTCCTGTGGCCGCCCCCCGCCCCCCCGTCATTGCCACCCCCAAACTGTGTGCCACAGTCATCCTGTCACACTGTAGGCTACCTGTGCGTGTCGACCTTAACATTTACATCGGGGACAATACGCACAAATAAAATCTGATTTAGACACAGCTGGATAAATCAACAAGTCTTCAGCTGGGATCTACCTGTTTAAACTACTTTTTAATCAAATCACCCTTTTTTGGCTCACGTGCACGAATATTTAATATCAGATTAGACTGCAACAGTGTAATATTAACCCAGTCTTCATTAATTTAAATAACTTTCTCCCCCCTACGGGTGCTTTCCCGTATTTTCTCACCCAGCCCAGCAACCGCAACACTCAGCGCGGCAGACTCTGTGCCGACCGGAAGGTGACTGACCTGATCGGTGTGTTGAGGCGCAGAGGAGACAGCGCACACTCTCTGTTTCTGAAGCTGGATGGTTTGTCTTTTATTTTCGGTGGTGTTAAATTTCTTTCAAAACTCGAAAAAAAAACCCCCAAACAAACAACGGAAAACCCAAACAAACCGTGGCGTCCGCAACGTGCGCACGGGAGCGCGGCGTCAAAGAGGTCCGGTGTGTTTGCTGTGCGGTTTTCTGCTCAAACAGCAGCAGCAGCAGCTGTGGTCGTGTCTGCCTGCCTCTCTCGCTCTCTCTCCTCCCTCTCAACACAACCGATCGGGATCTTGAGGACACAGGCAGAGGCATCAAATTACCCATTATAGTGGATTTTCTCAGTTGTTTGCCCCATATGGGAGAAACAGGTAATGTAAAATTCAGACCTAAAAGTGTTGTTTCTTAGGTGTTTAGCCATGTGGAACAAATAACTTAAAGGAATAGTTCCACCTTTTCAGCAAAGCACATATTCACTTTCTTGCCTAACTTACAGGTAGCTAAGATAGTTTGATATAATTTTGACTATAGGAAAGAGCTCAGTGGGTTACCTTAGACCAAAGACTGCTAAAAGAAAAGAAAAAAAATCACATTTTGGTATGGTTAAAAACTAATGAAATACCCTTACCACTTGTGAGAAGCTCCTCTAACTAAGATGCACCAATAGTAAACTGCATTCGTATATCGTTTACCTGCTATGTGTCACGCTAGTTTTTTTTTTCCGGGAACTGTGTATGGAACAAGTGAGTTTCTTTAAAGTATTGTTCCCCTCCAAGAACTAGTTCGGCTTTTTGATACTGGTTTTGCAGATTAAGCAAGTAAGGCTACATTTTATTTGGTAAGGTTTTTTTTTTAAAGTTTTAAAAAAAATAATAAAATTTATTTTTATTTTTAGTAAGACAACCAGTTGAACATGGCAAGAAAAATTCATTTCAGGTTAATGTAATTTATATATCGTGATTCACTAGAATCGTTATAAAAAAATACTCCATTACTCAATTACACGTACTTAAACTTTGACAGTTTTCATTATGGAGGCACACACTGAGAAGTCATAGCTTGGATTAACTCTCTTGTTTGATATTATTGGATCACTAATACTGATGCATTCACGTGTAAGCACGGGTTTGTTGATGTAGTTTCTTAAGGTGGGGCTCGTTTTAGTTCCAGTACTGGTCGGTAGCTTAATCGAAAACAGTGCAACGTGTTTTCTAAGCTGACGTCTTGTGTACATCAAATCTGAAAGCTAACTTGTAACTACTTCATTAGTAGCAGCTGTACTAAACTGTTAACCATCTAATTTAAATTTCGATATTAAGTTCATCCCCCAATAATAGTGAATTGTTCCTTTGATACTCAGTCACTTGACAGTAAGTGGTTGCTTGTTTTGTTGCTGTCTGTCGGGCTCCCCCCCTCTTAGTCACTTAGTTTACCAGTGATGACTATCGAGCTGATTACAGTCATATTTCTGACATCACAGTCTTTGGTCTCAGAAGACGGGACTGAATTCAACTGCTGAAAGACAACAGGGTGATCATTTGACTGTGCAATTAAGTCATCTAGTTCACTAGGAAATCCTGCGAGTGTCGTTTAGCAGATAACATCCTGTCGACCCTCTCATGTGTTTACTGAAGCTGAAATTGTACTCTGCTGCATCACTTAGTTCATGAAACGCCATCCGGACAGTCAGCTAGCCTGCTGAAAGTCAGCTTAGTGCAAAAACAGGTGCACAATGAATAGTAAGTTTGCCTGCGTGCTGCATCTTTTTAGACTTTGTTGTAGATTTAAGGATCTTCGACTAACCTCAACACACAGCTCGCTCTGTAACGGTAAACTAGACACAGAATCTAAGGGCTACTTTTAATTTTTTTACTCTGCTGACTGAAAGCAGATGTGGTTCATATTTTTTAACATCCTTATCTTGAAATCACATTTTGTTATATCTGACTACATATCGGATGTTGAACTGCTGTAAATACCCTACTTACCACAGACTGAAGGAGCTATTCTTAAGATTACGAATGAAACATCTCAGCACTCATGGTGCAGGTGGGTGTTTAGACTGAAATGTGCCATTGCATGAGTACAGCTGGCTAAACAAAACCCATGAACAAACCCACATATTAGATTTTGTTTTAAACATTTACCAGTGCTTAAATGTACAACAGCCCAACAGGTACAAAGAGGCCTGTAGAAAACACACAAAGCAATAAAGCTGCCCCCCCCCCTTTTTTTTTTTTTTTTGGTCAAAGTGTCATTTGACCAGAGTCTGACCTGTTGGGGCTGCTCGCTTTGAGGTGGCTATGTATGACGTTGAAACAGCATGCGCAGAACTGCATGTCCTGGTTTGCATTTATGGTTTTTCAGGAAGTAATTTTAGCAAACTGTAATCTTTGGTTTGCAATAGAGACCTCTGTTATTAGCCGTCGTCGTGTTACTGTGATTGCAACAAATAAATATGAATCTATAGCATGTGCTGGAATTCTTAGAAGGTCTTTCAATAAAAATGTAACAAGTCCAAAAATTGTAGTGGGATTTGTGTCAAAACCAAACTAAAGCAAATGTGTGAACAGATACCTGATGGTGTTACTTCTCAAACTTCAAGGTAGAATCTGTGTGAGGTGACTTTTCAACCTGCTTTTGAAGCAATTCAACGCAACCGATGTTAAGCCCTGCCACTCACTGCTCAACACTGCAATCAATTCTAAAAAAAAACAAAAAACTCTTTCAAATGCAGGTAAATGCAGCTGTTAATTTTGCTACCCTGCGAGTGCAACAGTAAGCTTCAGTTTAGCTGCCTTTGATCTATTATAACTCAGTATGGTGGACTGAGACAGCTGCTACACTTTGGTTATTTACACACACACACACGCACACACACACACTTACACATATTCTCTCACTCTGTCTCACATGCATAACATCCTCCCCATGCAGAATTTCTTTCTTTTTTTGCAGAGATAAAAAAAAAAATGACACCCCTGAGAGTTTGGCTGTTACAAACAAAGCAAAGCAATAATTTCTGATTGTTTATAGAGTCGAATCCCAGCAGACTGGAGCTCTGGTATCTGAAAATGTTCATCATCAAAGTACTTGTGTATCTTAACAGGGCTCTCCTACGCTGTCGTGATTATTATAAAGTGGAAAAGACTTGTCATTTTTCAGGCTTAGGAGGGGTGCAAGCTGCTCAAAAATCAACGCGGCTTTTAGTGAGGAAATTGAAACCCTCACAGTTAACGTTATGACAGAAGAAATCGGCCAAACTGGCTTGATTTGTCCCTCCATGCTCGTATGTATGGGATGACAAATGAACTAAATGTTTAGATTATAACATTTAATCTCCCATCTCTCCCTCCAGCAGGTTGGGATGAGCACCAAGACAAACAGGATTTGGCTAGTATAGGCTTGCTTGGTGAGTTAGCCGCCCACATAAATGTCCCTTTGAGCAACGTGATGGAGACGTTCCCACAGATCTCTGTTGACTGGTTGCCCCATGGACCAAGAGCCAAAAGCAAAGTGTGTTTCCTCTGTCTTCACTGTGCATACTGTATACATGTTATCAGCGCTGGCAGACTTTGTTGAAGAACTGGTTCTGTTTTTAATTTTAAAAAGAGCGATCTTAATAAATCGTTTATTCTTGACATTACCTTGAAACCCTTTGCGATGTAGATGAAGCATCTGATTATGTCAGATTTTTTTATGCTGCATACAGTAAACACACTGTCTGCATCTTTACACAACAGAGAGGGAAAAAAAAGTTCAGTTTCACGCAAAAGTATTGTGGTTTATGTTAAAGGCTAAAGTGGCACATGTGAAAAGGGCCCTTCCGCCACTCGCCTTCTTAAAGCGTGACAAAAGCGTGACATTAAAGGCAGGATATGAAAGAAGAACAGGATGAGGAAAATATGACAAAGAACTTTTTTTTTAAAAGTGTCATTAATATGTGCTTTTACACACGTCTGTATGTATAAGTAATGTTTTTAGAGAAATATTTAGAGATGTTTTAGAGATATTTATATGTAAGGTATTTTTAAAGAGTGTAATAAATAATTATAAAATGCTAATCTTGAGAAATGGCAAGTACACAATTGACAGCACTTCCACATATACACAGTGCCATCTGCTGCCTCACATGAGAAAATTCAACCCAGTGCCTCTTAAATAAAACACCACGAGGCATCAATAATTCACACTTCGCTCGCTTAAATTTATGTGATGGTGCTGGCAAATGATCATTTTTCTACTTTTAAGTGTTCCTAAAATGTAAATATTGTGCTGCCTGTGTAAGATATAACGCTCTACAATGTTTTGATATACAGTAAGCCTTCTGGCATTGCTAGATTTGTTAGGGAGACTCTGTTGTGGATGTCTTAGTATTTTTCATCTAAAGGAAAATAAATATATATGCTGAGAGCAAAATGACATACCAACAAATTAAACAATGTATCTCAGTAAAGATTTTGAGTGTGAATATTTCTAAGAGTGTGATGAATGAATGTGGGACCTTCTTAGCTGATGTCTGTCAGTAGCAGTAGGCTGCGCCACGTGTGCTTTTTTTAAAAAAAACATTTATCTGGTAAATTAGGGTGTAGTTCTTCACACTGGGGCAAATCTGTTGAGTTCACAATTCAACAGATACAACAACAGATGCTTTTAACAGTCATGTGTCTTAAAGCTTAAAAGTCCTTTTAATCACTTTAATCAAAGCTTTGTCTTGTGATATGTGGTATGTCTCAAATTTCCTGCTAGACAAGCCATGCCAGTGCATACAGCTCTTCAGACTCTTCAGACATCCATGTGACACAATCACATGGACGTCGGTGACACCTAAGTCAAAATCTTGTCTTAGCAGTTGCATATTTTGTTTTTAACTTACTCACAGCGGTTTCAATGTTGCAGTATTTTAGGATTGGTGACATGGTAATGGAGACAGCTGATGAGCTGTGGCAATCCTTAAAGGGAGGAAGCGAAAGAAGAAGAAACGTACTTTTTTTCAGGTTTGTAGTTTGAAATCAGAAGAAGCAGTGGCTGTGGTGAACTTGGTTTTAGTCTGCTCAACAGCAGCTTTTTTAATTAGACTTTCCCTGACTGGTGAATATCCACATCTATCCCAGGCCATATATGCTTACACAGATGCACCACACTTCTTTATGAGTGTGAAATAGATGTGCCCATGTGAAGAAAACACTCAAAGAAAAGACACAGCCACTGGCATGACTCTCAGTGAATCAGTGGGATGATTGAACCACATCTTTATTAACTTTTATCTGTACAGAAAAAAAAACCAGTCACCAGATCATGCAAAGCAGGATTGCATTACAAATAAAAACACAATATAAAACAAACATTTTATACTTTACCATAAATATGGAACCTCAAAAATAAATAAATATATTACAAAAAAATAAATAAACTTCTGACAAATACAATATGTCAAAGTTTACTTGCAACATAGTCATGGAAATGGATAAGCCGACAGGTTGATATGCAGGTCGTAGGATTTGTTTTTACGCGTACGTTCTTGAAATGCAACAACTGAACCAAAAATGACCGGTGAAGGTAGAGGGTTCAATCCAGGCTGCGTAAAATTCATTGCACCTATACATACAAGGCTAAGGACGAAACACCAACAGTTGTGATAGTACTCAGATCAGATGCTGACTGCACGTAAAGAGCAACCTGGAGAGTCACCATGGAAAGAAATCTTAAAGGGAATGTAAGAGTAAGGTATTCAACACATACACAGATCCCGTATGTATGATAATATAATAGGGTGACAGCACTCAACAGTCATGTCGAGGTGTTATTGCACTACTGTCTCAATGTCTTTTCATGAGAATAATCAACAAAGTACAATACTGTTGATAGATCTACACAGAGGTGAAACAAGAAATCACCAGTCACAACTACAGACATGAGTTACCACGTGAAATGCATTCATTTACTCGCCAGCCATGCTCCTCCTAAACAGCAGATTCCAATGCTCAAAGCTTCATAGTGAATGAATGCATTTTAATATGCAATTGACCCAGGTCTGCACAGCTAACACACATAGCTGTGAATTGAAAACATGTTCACAATAAGGCTACAACATCTAGAGAGAGAGAGAGAGAGAGAGAGGCAACGGAGGGCAAAGTCTAACATTGATAGAGCTCTCACTTGCTCCAAAAAGTCACACACTTGGAGGAGCCATGCACAACAAGTGAACACAAATGAACACACAGATATCCCCCCCCTCCCCCCTAAAACACACGCACACATAAATGAACTTCAAGGCTTATAGACAAAAAGGGGCAGCAATGACGAGCCCAGTAGTCGGTAGCCAAGGACCAGAGAGACACAACGGCTGGATTTACACAGACAGGAACAAATCTTTTAAAGAAGTATCTCTTTTTTTTTCTTCTTCCCTTTTTACTGACTTGCTGACCAACAACGATTCACTGGAAACCATCAAATGTAGGAGAAACCAAATGTCATATCTGAACATTAACATTTGTATAAATCCAGCTACTGAATGAAAGAGTTATGTCACTGACTGCAAAGCTAATCAAAAAGTGCTGCTGATTTCTTTTTTTATTATTATTGGCTTCTCTCCCATTATAGTTGTGTTTATACTGCATTTATATACTGTATATAAACTTATGTACATTCCATCTGTAGTCTTTAATATTATACTTTCATTATACCTTAGACTCTGTTCCTTTGTGTGCGCTGGGAAAAAATAATTTTTTATTCTATTCTTTCTACTATATCATAATATATTCTATATCAATGACTTAACTCCTTCAGACCTATTAGTCTGGGTTCATTCACGGAACATCCTACCCAGCAGGCCTCACTGTTACTCACACAGGAAAGCTAAAAGTGGTGCAGAAGAGGGACCGGGACAGAGGGAATACAGTACAGTTAACACACAAACTTTAATCTCAGACTGGTTCACATTTAATGTCAATCAAGTCATCACTGGCCAATGGTAAATGGAGGGTGTGTCTAGTCAGAGAAAAGGCTGGCGAAAGACTTTCGAAGGTTACGAATGGTCTCGGCCTTTGCCTCCTCCTGGCCTTCGCCTCCGGAGCTTGAGACCCCGCGGAAGAAAGAAGAGTCGCTGAAGGCGTTGAAGGCATTGGTCAGGGACTGGGATTTACTGGGAAGAGAATGGAGAAAAGGAGGGGGAAATCGAGAAAAGACAGATAAAGGAGAATTTGTATTCAAATGAACGAATGAATGTCTTTAAATAAGCGTGTTGATAATTCAGCTCTTACTTCAGAAGAGGGTGAGTCTTTTGCTGCGATTGTTCTTCCACTGTTGCCTCGGCCTCAGCCGGTGCTGCGGCTGCTTCAGCTGGGACTGGCTCAGGGTTCGGGGAAGCAGCAGCTGGCTTAACTTGAACTGGAGCCTTAGCTGGAGACTGGATGTTATGTTGGACCTGACTGGCTTTGGCTGGGGACTGAACCTGTGCTGGGGCAGAGACCGAGGCTGTATCTGAAGACTGAGCTGGTGCTTGGGCAGTGGGCTGGGGTGTGGGCGAAGCTTTCGGAGGAGGTGCGGTTTGTGGCTTAGGCTGGAGCTGTGGTTTGGAATTTCTGCGCATAGGAGGAATGGGTTTTGCAGGTGGTGTGGGTTTGGGGGGAAGATCTTTTGGTTTGCCAGGTGCTGGGGATGGGGAGCCTTGAGGCTGGGGCTTGGGCTGCTCTGTGGTTGGAGGAGAGGCTGGGGGAGAAGCCTGAGCTGCAGCTGAGGCTGCAGCGGGGCCAGAAACTGCGGCTGCTGCTTTGGTTGGTGGAGAGCCTGGAGCTGCAGCTGCCTGTACTTTTGCAGGGGATGATGGTGAAGCTTTGGCTGGGGCTGAAGTGGAAGCAGAATCTGGGGTTGGCTTTGTGACAGACGGGGCTCTCATCATTGGTGGAGGCCTCGGTACTGGTGGTTTTGTGACTGAGGCAGCTTTCTGCACTGGGCTTGGTTTCTGAGCCTGAGCTGGTTTCTGAGCTGGACCTGGACCAGGTCTCTGAGCCTGGCTGGGCTTTGGTACTGGTTCAGATGCTCTCTTAGCTGATTCTGATGATGTGTCCACACTCTGCGCTTTCACTGGTGCACCTAAAACATGAAATATATTTATATGAACTTGTACTTCCACTGCTATACAACACCCAAATGCAAAAAGGGGGTTAATAATAGAACATACAAGCATCAGTATTTAAACTCTAGAGACTGTTAGTGCAGCGTTAGACAACCAGGCATTTGTAACACTCACCAAAAACCAAAGCAGAACATGACAAAGAAAATGAGCTTGAATCTAAACATGCCCATTCACAAAATGATTTCAGACATTCATAGAAATCCTATCTAACTAATCTATCAAGAATAGACTGGGGCAAAGCAGGCTCTGAATGTTTTGGCTGTAATGACCAGCAGGGGGAGGCAGAACAGCAGTTAAAAGAAGGTGCGGTGATTCGCCTATCATGCCAAGTGTTATGCACAGTAAGTCACGTGACCAGCACTAGTGCGAAATTAAAACAGGCAGTGACAGGAAAGAATCAGACTGACGGTGAGGAGAAAGACAGTAAACAACAAAAGGTCAGGAGCTAACGGAGAAATACCGGTTTAGAACAAGTGATCCAAACACAAGCAGCAACGTGGCGGGACATGCAACACAAAAGAATCAAGTGATTGCACAAGCTGAGCTAGAAGCGGCAGGGCAGGGATGAGTTTCCAGCAGTTCAGAATTCATTTTCTCCAAAACAGAATTACTGAATGTAAATTACATTATAAAGCCTCTTTGAACACAGCTTGAAAAATGTAAACAGAATCCTGTTTATGGACTTATGGATTTATATATATTTTTTCTCATTACAAAAACTTCATGAAAATTCATCCCATGTGTTCTCAGAGAGTCACTGCTGTCAAGCAGCTAATTGGCCACGAGTCTTACGTTTGATCAGATTGTCATAAAGCATCCCAATGGTTGCTTGGGACTCACGGCGCATAAAAACCAAAGAAAATACAATTTGTACAAACATAATTCATAAAGGGAGACACAATAACAATTTGCTTGGCTACAAACCCAGAATTAGGGAACATTGTGTTTAGAGATTTGCTTAATATTTTGTTGACCGCTATTATAATTGATTTTCGCCACATCAGTCAAGCAAGTACAGAAAGTGGCAAACGATTTTAGCTATATTATTAAAAATATTATTTAATCTCTTTATTTAGAAAAGGTTTAAAAATCAAAATCTTCATCAAATCTATAGCCAGATGTTCAAATATTAGCAATTCAATGGTCTGGATCCAAGCAAATGAGGAATGATCATGCAGACAAAGAAAAGTATGCTAATTTTTTTAAAACTTAATTTAATCAGGTGTTGTAATTGTGAGAGAAAAAAAACATCATATTTTGCACTTTATGAAGCCAGATTGCCTGTTTCAAGTATTATAACACAAAACAGTTGAGGCTTATTTACAACCAAACACAAACTCTAATCAGCTACTCAAAAAAAGTCAAGATCTTGTTGCTCAGCCAGAAGGAAATCTATTTATTTAGCATAAAAATGCAATTTAAAGATTATAAAAATGATTTAAGCAGAAACCACAGAAACCCAATTGAGCTGGCCAAAATCTAACAAGCAGAGTGATGGTAATCTCTGTAAGTTATTTTGCTTTTTACTAAAGAACACATAAAAATAAAATATTAATCCACCAATAAGTGCACATGTTTTCACAGTGTTAAATTAGTATCACATATGGCATTGTTATTAATGCATAATTCATATATAGTGAAGTCCGATTTGCACATCTTAACACTCAATAGGCACATATTTATCTCTATCAATTCACATAAGACACAAAAAGCTATTTCTACAACATCTTAACCACCACATGGAGTACAGGCATTTGCCACACCCATGCAAAAAATGAGAAACCACAATGAACAAACATGCAAACCCAAATTCACACAAAGACAAACACAACAACTCCAACATTAATGGCTTTGTTAATGTAACACTTTGGGTAGCGTTTTACCACTGCGTTTAGTAGGCACACTTAGTTTTAAAACATCAGCCCTGAGCACAAACACCACCACACACACTCTCTCTCTCTCTCTCTCTCTCACACACACACACACACGTTTGAAAACTTACATTACATCTGCAATTAAACTTAACATGCTGGCTAAGTGCATTTTAATATACATTTGCTTGTTAATTCAAGTGAATGCCACAAGTTAAAAACAGACAACACTGGCTTGTTAATATAAATGAATGCCGCAAGTTAAAAAGAGGCAAGGCATTGCTTTGACAGATAGAAGAGGCTTCTTGCTGTTCTTGGACCCAGACTAGTGCACCAATCATTTCTGTCAACACCGAAGTGAAGCCATGATATCAATATACTAGTTTGAGGCAGTAATGAAGGAAACTGTTGAGTTCAAGGAACAAGGATCAGTATGCTCACAAAATACAAGCTGCTTCTACTCTTCTGCACTCCTTCATTTTCTTGCCAAGAGTTAGATGAGAAGATGAATATGCCTCTTGTACCTATACGGTAAACATGAAGCTACACTCAGTAGGTAATTAGGTAGGCTAAAAACAAAGCCTGGAAACAGGGGAAACAGCTAGCATGGCTCTTTCCAAAGAAACCATAGCAGATCAAAGTTTCCCATTTTGACAAGATGTGTGTCATAATTTTGATGAATACAAAACCTGTGAAAGCCACAGAGCAACACATGACGTCAAAGTGCAAATCAGTGAGTTCTAAAGGTGTTTATTGGTGGATCGGGTTGCCAGGTAAGCTGTTTTTCCCAGTTTCCATGCCCAGGCAAAGCTAATGGTAGCTGCATATCTACAGTACAGAGAAGACATTACTGTTGGTCTTCTTGTCTAATTCTTGGCAGAAAAAAACAAACAGGTCTATTAACAGATCGCTGGTAAACTGGATGATCGGGCATCTATGTGTTACAGTATCAAGTCCCAATACAACGATGTGAAAGCACTGAATACTTATTTCCCACCTGTTTACTTTCTGATGGCAGTACTTTGTTTGATAAGGAAGATGTTCAAGTTAACAGCTAGTGGATACTTCATCTCAGAAAGTGATGTTAGCAAGGGGACTGTTCAATGATGAATTTAGTTAGTGTTTTCTAGACATGGTACAGCAGCAGCCCTTTTACATTGGTGAATAATGTTCAGAAACCTTGAGGTTGAGGACGTTGGCTTGAAGTCCTGTTAGGATCAGCCAGTCCTTCCTTAGGGGCAGCAGTCTAGTA